CTCAGACGTTTCGCCGGCATCATCGGTAAGTTTTGCCGTTCTCCGCACCAACCTACAAACTCGTCAAAGAGACAAGTCCACTGGCTGATGCTGGGAATCATGACGACTACTATGGCAGACGAATTTGGACAAGGTACGTTCTACACAGTCGCCCTGACAACAAGACCAAGTTGTGACAACGAGGTCAACCCACTTCTATAATTTGATATGCCTCAGATGAAAAACGCAAGCTTTATTCACCATATTTATGATATGTTGATGAAGGACTGATACGTGAATTCTTCCACAATCATGTGAGTTGACTTCATTTTTCCTTGCAATTTCGCCTGACCCTGCCTACCGGAATGAATTCTCGTGCCGACTTTGAGTTCGCCCTAACTGGTCTCATCGGAACCCCACACTGCGGGACTCGAGCTCAGGTTTTTGTGGTTCAGGATACATCTCATTTACATGACCTATCGGGGGTTTCAAAGTAAAATGATTTTACGATCAAATACAACGTTGCTGCATAGACACACATGTGCTATGCCGAAGACCACTTTTCCCAGTGACTCGGGGGCACTTGGGACGATGTGGCGTATTTGTTGACGTGTCTAGTCCGTTAGGCTGCACTAACACGAGCCGGGTTCGAGTCCCGTCGGGGCGGCAGGAGCGAAGCTGCAGTCTAGTCCAGCCCAGATGGAAACTGGATGTTGTAGAAAAGCCGATTGAGAATATCCGAAATGGAGATGAGCTGAACGATTAGAATCGGAAGACTGTCTCTAAAGTCAACTTTGCCTCGGCAACGTGTTGTGCTGCCGTGGCGACGGGTCGACTTTCGCTTCTGGCCGGTTTCGTGTCGCGTCTGCCGAGACGGGTCAAGCTGAATGTGCGCGCATCGGCCAAACTGTCCGTGGGGAGGGGTCTTCTTTGGCTCGGTTTTCGGATAATGCACCCGCTCGGACAGCGCCTGCTGCCCGACCGTCGGTACTTTATGGCCGCTCAGCTGCTCTCTCTCTCTCTCTCTCTCATCGCGTCTCCACGGGCCGTGGGACACATGCGTCCTAAAGTCTGTCTCCGACCGAGCTGAGCAGACGAAACAGTCGCCCACGTCGGCGCTGCTCGGCGGTGGTCCGAACTCGGCGTCGGCAGGCCAGAAGTATAAAATGCTCTGCCGTTGCCTCGCCAACGGTACATCCGACTTGTGCTGCCACTCGACGCCCAGTTCGCCCCAGCAACCAACCGACCCGACCACAACCATGCTCGTCTGCAAGACGGCCTGCGCCAATC